CTCACCGATTGGTTTGAGAAATTTCCTCCCTTCCCAGAGACCAGAGACATTATCAAGTCACCAGAAATGCAGAAAGCAGCAGCGGTCTTTTCACACCCTTTGTCCACCACCGCTCAAGTACAAAAGGCAGGTGAAACCTGCATCTTAAGGTGGTATGGAGCTCCAGCGAAAGAGATTTCCCTCAACGTGTTTTAGTTACTTACAAGTGCTAATTACATATGGACTAATAACTTAATTCAGTAGTGATTTTAATTGAATATTTTGAATATTTATTTAATTTTACAAATTAAAACTGAACTTAATTGACTGTTAACTATCCTTTTCCAGTCCTTTTATTATTTTATTGTAATTATTAATTATTTGCATGCAATTAAAAAATATTTTTAATGATGCTAAAGAAGTATAACTTCTCACGCGCGTACATAAGTTACACGCATCCATTTTTTTTAAATTATTAAGATGAACGTATGTAGTCACGCCATTGTTAGTAGCAGAAGCCATATGTTATCGAAAATCGAGTCGTCTATAACGATATCACAGAAAAATAGCACAAATCACAAAATCAAAGAATGCATCGGTAAAACACAAAAAACAGAAAACATTCGCATCGCAAGCGGCTATTTGCTAATGTTATAATACACAGACCACTGACAAAAACTGTCATTATTAGTTGTCATGTTGATATCTTGTATAGTTTTCGAGATATCCGCTCTTAACAGTCTGTAATTATGGAAAAATAAATTTGCTTCACATTTTTGCTCTATTTGACCGGATAACTCTTCAACAATGCCGGCCGTAGGTTTGTTTGTTCCACCAGTGAGCAGCATGCAGATTTCGGACAAGCCCGCCAAAACAAGGATGGAGCTGACATTGCCAAGCTCACCGATTGGTTTGAGAAATTTCCTCCCTTCCCAGAGACCAGAGACATTATCAAGTCACCAGAAATGCAGAAAGCAGCAGCGGTCTTTTCACACCCTTTGTCCACCACCGCTCAAGTACAAAAGGCAGGTGAAACCTGCATCTTAAGGTGGTATGGAGCTCCAGCGAAAGAGATTTCCCTCAATGCCTACAGGTACAAGTCATTCTTGAAATCAGTGGCCACCATCAAGCCTGATATCTCTTGTCTTCCTCCCACCAAGGGAGCAGTAAAACAGCATTCCCAGGAAGTGGTGGCACTTTTTTTTTCCATAATTACAGACTTTCAAGGGCGGATATCTCGAAAACTATACAAGATATCAAAAAACTTGACTGAATAAAACTTGTAGCAACTTTAATCAGCTTTCACTTTATCGTTATCGTTATAGACGACTCGATTTTCGATAAAATATGGATTCTGTTACTAACAATGGCGTGACTACATACGTTCATCTTAATAATTTTAAAAAATGGATGCGTGTAACTTATGTACGCGCGTGAGAAGTTATACTTCTTTAGCATCATTAGAATATTTTTTAATTGCATGCAAATAATTAATAATTACAATAAAATAATAAAAGGACTGGAAAAGGATAGTTAACACAGTCAATTAAGTTCAGTTTTAATTTGTAAAATTAAATAAATATTCAAAAGATTCAATTAAAATCACTACTGAATTAAGTTATTAGTCCATATGAAATTAGCACTTGTAAGTAACTAAAACACGTTGTGTCTATATAGAAACTAGAAACATGTGGATAAATATTATAAATATGAAAACAGTGATCAGAGGCGACGAGCGTGCCAACATTATTTTTGACAACGCGATCATCTTATGGAGCTCCGTGGATCGTTCAAAGTACCTTTCGAACAGATGATGATGATGATGAACATTCATAACGCGCCCGCGGCCAACTTCATGGTGTTACTATTGTGTTACAGTGATGCGCGCGTATCTCGAAATTTCACTCACATGATTTTTTCATAACGCGCCCGCGGCCAACTTCATGCTGTTACTTTTGGGTTACAGTGATGCACGCGCATCTAAAAATTTCACTCTCATCATTTTTTCATAACGCGCCTAAAGAAGTATAACTTCAAAAATATTTAATTTTTAATTAAATTTAATTCGAAATATCTCATTAACCCAACTAGGTAACAAAATTAATTAAGAAGCAGCATACAATAAACTTTACAATGTTATATATTTTGCTCTTGTACAAAGAACTTGGCATACAGATACCATGATATATGTGTAAATATATATTTTATTGGGACATACCTAATTAATATTCTTAAAGAATTTAGGTAACATATTTATTCTACACGATAACGCTTAATAAAAAACTGGTCAAGTGTGTCTGGTCGCGCTCAACGTAGGATCCGTAATTGTCGTAATGATTATAACTATATTATATTTTGGTTGGTCATTAAAACAGGAGACGAAAGCTCCATAATTTTTGAAGTAGTTAATATGGAAGCTGGTAAGTAGGCAGCTGAATATTTGGAAAACCAAGAAATGACATATATTTTCGAAGTGAAAACTTCTTTGGTATCGTTGTGACTTCAGATTCGATGAAACGAAAGTAGAGTATTTGGTACAAGGTAGGTATCCGTAATTTTGTAACACTGCAACAGACGGATAGCCAAACGAAATCGGTCTTGGGGTCGATATCAAAAGATCAGTGATTCGATCCTGAACTTGGTCAATGTTTTTTCACTGGCACTTATATAAATTTTTGGAACAATATTTAAGTATATTTAAGTTTGCCCGGTATATTAATAAATACCTGAATAGTTAAGTATTAAACGTATAGTATTCTGTTAGTTTATTAGTACAGTTCTGTTTTTTTTTTCTTTTTTTTATAAAGTGAGGACTTCTTGATCAAACGTAGAAATGAAGGCAAGTAATTATGAGACGTATACTAACAGTATTTTTAGAATTAGCAAAAATAAACATAACGTTTTATGCCGGCTATACAGTGTAAAAACGTACGTAAACGTAAAAACGTACACATGAAGAACTTTTATGTGTGTTCACATTTTTGTAGGTTACATTTCGTTGTCTTCGTATCACTTTGTTGTCTGTCTGTCCGTCCTTAAAGACCGTTTTTCTCAGGAATGCGTGGAGGTATTTAATTGAAATTAGAATTAACATATCTAATACTCAGGTTTACTGTCCCTTGGATCTGTGAAAAAATCAAACTTCTAAGCCAATTAAAAGATACAGCTATTTATGCCGCAAATTTTCGCAAATTTCGAAACTCGCACGGGAATCAAAACCTACAGGGTACTTCCCGTGAAATTAGAATCTTGAAATTTGGTACGAAGTAACGTCTTATAGTACGGATAAAGAAAATATTGCGAAAACCGTAAATTTTTAGTTACATCATATAATTATTTTTTTGAAAATTCCGGTTTGTACGGAACCCTCGGTGCGCGAGTCCGACTCGCACTTGGCCTGTTTTTTTTCTTGTAACTTCACATCTCAGGCTTTAAAATGGGGAGGAATCATGTGGTGAAGCAATTACGCGGGTGAAGCCACGGGTCACAGTCTTACTTTTTTTTTAATACTCGTACCTATATGGAAGCTAAACAAGCACACGGTGCGCCTGACAGTAAGGCGGTCTCGTTGGCAGATGGATGCCTGCAGTTCCAGAAGTATCACACGCACGTGGCTGAATTTTAAATCTTCTTTCCACCTCTTTTGAAGAAATTTATGCTGGTATCTTTTGAGAAAACCTCTATATTCTACACTTTTATCCTATATCCTACAGAGGAAATTCCTCTGAAAAAGAAAAACTTGGTTCCGAAGTATAAGGATAAATCAATTTCCTATAGATCAGCCGTACAATGCTAAAAGGTGGCCATGGTAGCAATCTGTGGCTATGGCCATCATAACAAAAAAATCCTTAGTGCACTCTCCATAGTACAAGTGAAATTCATATCATCTTCAGTCAGGTTTTCTTTTATTACGTATGTATGTGATTATGTTTTTTTATTAACAAGATGACAATAAGGTCCGTTAGACAAATATTTCTAATTTAAAATTTAGGTGGATGGTAAGTAAATGGTCTAATTAGAATATTTTTTCAATGGGAATGAAATTCCCAACCGACCACCTAGATGGATTTCAGTGTTCGATAGGACAATAAATACCTTGCAATGGCCATTTTGCTCGCAGTCGGCTAAACTCTCGAATACGGCCATGTTTCGTTATACAGCACCGTGAGTATTGCGTATAAGGGTAATTGGAAAAATTATGTATTGGTGGAGGAAGATTCGTCATCGAAAGCGGAGATGCGATAGCAATTAATCAGTCGCCCCGTGAACCTGGTCGAAACGTCTCGGGCTAAAGAAGCTACGAAAACCTTAAAGCTAAAGCTTCTTCAAAAATGGTTCGGTTTCATTACATCGTAATAAAGAATCACAAATGAGTACATGGTTCCTTAGGTTTCTTTTAGTGAGCACGTGAGCACCCAAATATCGAGCTTTTTTGTGTACCTAGCTTTTTTCAAATGGAATATCGGTGTTTAGAGCTAAAGAGTAAAATTAGAAAATTACAGTATTTGTAGAATCAAATAAAATATTGAAAAACATAATGAATGAGAGGCCACCGAATTCATTCATCAAAATTTTGTATTGAAGGATTTTTAGTTCCTAATACCCTATGAACTTGAAATTTCGCAAAAAATAAATTTCATTGTTACCCTAAATGTGGGAAACTCGCGCAAATCAAATCGTTTACATCCTTATCAGATCAAAAACAGTAATGAATGAGATCTTAAAACGTAATTATTTATTTTTCTTGAGTTTTACTTCAATACAAAGATAATTGTTCCGCTAACTACATAATTTACTCCGAACGTCGCCCATTGACGGTTTCATTGTTTCTTTATTGGATGTCACCTATATGGGAAGCGAAGTGTGACGTCACAGTGCCGTAAGCCCTAGCCATTCATATGTCCATTTTAATGGCAGAATAGAATTAGTATTAGCTTAGTTTCAGATCAGCCAGAACGCTGCGCGCAACGTACGTGGTCCACACACTGGACACACTTATATATAAAGAGATCTTACGAAACCGTTAGCACATTCGGCCTCCTACAACCTGGTCAGGAAGTTGCTGCTTTGTCACTCAAGGAACACAAAATGAAGAACACATTGGTAAATTATATCCAATTTTTCTCTTTTAAATTATAAAACAGTTTGATACTTTAACTGTATACACAATTTGCTTTTTTTTTATTGGCGAGAGACAAGTGTACAAGATAAAACTTAATTTTGCAATGTCTTGCACGATGCTTAGTTGATTCTGACTATCGTTTTATTTGACCTCTTGATTGCAACACATGTATTAATACTTAGACAAATTTATATAAGTTTTACGTTAAAGTAACATAATAGTTTTTCAAACAACTTCGATATCTAAATTGCAAGTACTTATAAGTCATGTTTTATATATTGATTATCTTAGGGCAGCTAACAGCTTATGAAACAAAATTAACAGCAAAAAACATTACTAAAAGCTATTGTTAAGCTAGCACATAAAGACCACATGTTTAATATTTTGGGTATAGTTTGATGACAATGTCTTATCTCCACCTATTCTTTGTAAAAAATCTTTTATTATTTCATGCCCTGAGCTGAACTTTAAAAGGCTAAATTTTAAATCCATCCTCGCTCGATTTTTTTATTTATTCATACTGGAGGTTTCCCGAGAGTTAGGCTACTTTAAATAAAGGTTTCTATACAAATTTTTTATCCCCCTTGCCAGACTCCTCTTTCTGAAGAATTTAAATTTAAGGGTAAAAATATTTTCGTAGTATCTCTCTACCCAAAATCATCAAAATCAACGGCTATGGAGTGATTGAGACTGAGTTACTTCTCCAGTATGGACATTTGTATTGATTAGTAGTGAATGTATTGACGAACACTATATATTCAAAACATAACTTTATTATGAACTTTGTGTTAAATGCTTTTCTGCGATAAAAATGAAGGCACGCAATGCACAATTAAAGTGTTTACAACCTTAAAGGAAAACAAGATTTGGAGCACCAAACTTGCGGTCAAAGACACTCTAAGGAAGCCGTTAAATAATACCGTTATTAGATAATTCATCTTACATAGAACCTGATCAAAATTAAAATAAAAACTCATATGTAATGTAAGTATGTGTATCTAGTGCAAAGCAAGACATGCCCATGAAATATTAAAAATAAATAAATATAAAAAAATAAATATTAATATTAAATATTCAAATATTTTATTATGCTGTTTTTAAAGTTAAAAAAGGTTTTTTTATAACCTACTTAACTATTAAAAATGATGTTATAATATGTTCACAAATTAAATTTACATTATTATGCTGTTCTCGAAACGAAATAATTTTGATGTAAATATTTAAGTCAGAAACAATCACAATATAATGAGAAGTAACGATGTCCCCAATTTATCGCCATAAATTTACTGTGAAAGCGTTATAAACAAAATAAAAAGGTGCGATAAAAGGAATGACCATGTGCATTTTGGCTTTTTAATCTTGTACTTACTTACTCGAATTCGCTAATGACAGTCGACACAAGATATAAATCAATTACTCACGATTTCGCGTTTCTTTCTCTTTCGAAATTCGATTAAAGGGTATCTTTGTACCTACTAGTATATAATTTTAGTGGTATGTAGCTTTTTCAAAATAGAAAAATTTAAAATGTTTGATTTTGATTAAGAAATCACAACTTTGCTATGATCTTGCCTTCTATCCTCTTCTAATATTACAAACGAGAAAATTTGTATGTTTGTTGCTCAATCACGCAAAAACTACTGAACAGATTGTACATTGTTAATTACCTGTATTGAGCCATAGGATACCTTATTCCCGAAAAAATGTTAGGTTACTGTGACGGCTCCAAAAACTAAAGATAACGCAGGCAAAGTCGAGAGCGGCCGCTGGTACATAATAAATAAATAAAAATACATATTTTCTCTAGTTGTAAAAAATGCAATCTACATAAATAGACGAGTATGAATTCGTTTCATGACTCATTTAACATTTGCAGGGTTGGTCAGTTATTAAAATTTTCTTTAGTATATATCCAATATAGATATATAGATACTTTAATAGGGGTATGGAGCTATAACTCGACCATACACTTTTTGAGATTTGTTATGCCAAATTTCATATGATCAATGTTTTCTTTATGGTTTGAACGATGATGGGCCTAAAATGATAATCGAGAAAAAAAAATAGTTTTTGTTCCTACTTTTTCCGATAAGCATAATAAACTGCCATGTCCTTCCAACGGTATCCACTATGTGCAAGGAAAGTTTAAGCAGTGTCGTCTTGTGTGTTTTTCTTAAAGTCTAATATTATAAATGAGAAAGAAATTTCAGAATTATTTCCATATTCTGCATTCAAAATGTTAATCTGATATAATTGAAATCGAAAAATAGTTATGTGAAATTATTTCTGTTCTATTCCAGATTTTTGGCGTAATTCTGATTAGCCAGATGATAGCGGCTAAACCTTACTACAATAGTGAGCCGAGACCTCAAGTACTGCGAAATGATATAGATACAAGCAACATGCCAAACTCTTACAAATTTTCGTAAGTATAACTTATAAAAAATATTGTCTCGTAAACTTAAAGCAATTTCAAGTAGCTCTAAATATTTTGGGCTCTGAAATAAATATAACACAATTCTTGTATTAATCAACAACTATAATAGTATCTTTATTTATGTTAATCTCTGTTTTATTTTCTAATGCCAAAATTATTGTAAAAGTTAACGAAAATAAACAATATAGTTTATAAAACTCCGTATTTAAATTAATACCAATTTTACATCACGATAGTTTTGAATTGCTAATTTCTCTAACTACATGTATTTAGTTACTATTACAAAATACACACAAAAACACTACAATACGTGATATGGATAGTAGGTATGTATCACGGAATTTTTAACATACAAACATCAATTCCTGTTTACGCCCAAAATGTACAATTTTAAATGCTGTACACATATTGGAATACAGTGAAAAGGAAAGCTGTATAAATTTGACATGAGTCAGAGCCGGTAAACAAGGTTAGCTACCCATGTTTATATGAGCTAAACTAGGTATTTTTTGTATGTACGATCGAACCAACTGATTCCTGACTCACTTTCCCGATAATTCGCTTGAAAGTGTTGCACTTTAGGCCAAATAACAAGGAAACTGTGTTGATATTATTTGAAATTTTATCTTTATTTTTAATGACTATAAGATAAAATTAAATAGTAGTTTGAATATCCAAATCACTTTTTAAATCATCAATGCAACAGAAATTCCTTCGATTTCTTAATATTATACAAAACGTTGGTAAACAAATGGGGAAACCTTAAACCATTGGAAAAACTCCAAATAATTGCATGGCAAAATTATGTCACAGCAAGGTGGCAAAATCTGTCACGTCAAATATGATTGTCAGAAAACAAAAGTTTTTTTCCAGGGATACGTACAATTAAGCAAAAATCTACCTTATTGTTTTGAAATGGTTGGAAGAAAATTAGTCTATGGTGGGTCAAGAATCAAATTGGTTGGTTTTTTATTGAGACGAATGAAGATAATTTATAACACAGTGTTTATTGCTTAATTAAGTAATTACTTTATAGTTAAATTAACAGGACTTATCTTTATTCTGATTTCCAATTGAACATTTTTCCTTTCATCTTCTTATAGCAAAATTCATAATGTAGGTTAACCAATTTAGACATCTCTATTTCTAGAACGAAAATATTTACAAACATGTCATGCATGTCATGTTCATGTAAATATATAGATTTTATATTGCTCTAAGATGCCGTTGCAATTCCTTTAGCTTTATACGTGATTTCTTGTAGAAAGCTAATTATTATGACCTTTAAATTTAGGGCTGCTGGCTGCCTGCCATGGGATTTAGCTTTTAGGTTCGCAGCCAACAAGACTTTTCCGTTTTCCAAAAGATAATTTTCACTTTTTAGGATTATGAAAAAAATGTTGGTATAACAAAACAACTAATCTGTTAGTTTATTTTGATGTTTTTGTCACTAGATTAGATTAGATTTTTATTATAACTTGGCACAGTTGAACCGTTTACAATTCAATTTAATAATTAAGTTAGACGTAAAAATTTAAATACTAATGCAAGACACTATGTTTTCGTTCTTGTAACTATCAAAATCTTTTTTAATAAAAAAAATGTGCTTAAATTAAAATGTTATCTTCCAATCAATCGAAATCATAACATTGACAGCAACATGATGATCATACAAATCGAACAATTGTGTACCTATTAGCATATTTCATGCTAACATATTATGTTAAGGAGAGTACACTAACTTCTAGTTCAGCTTTTTGTTGCCAAGCCATCTTAAACTATAAATATCTGGCACTCGGTGGAATTTAGATTTTTTCCGATAATCAATATAGATAGAACATTAGTCATTTTTAGGATTGTAAGGATAATATTATCAGATTTTTTGTTTTGTCTTAAATAAATGTTACACAAGATAATATTTCAAGGTCACTTATTGCTACTTAATCAGTGTATCTCATATATTTGAGTAGCTTTCAAGATGTCTAAAATGTTCCAGACTTTCAAAGTTCAATTTTTTTTCGGGTGATACGTGTATAATTTTAAATCCTTACCACAAAATATGTTATAGTTTTTATATTTATTTTTAAATTACAAAAATCAATAATAGGAATTTAGTTGAAATGTCACAGACATATTGTTTATTACCTGAATTAAGGCATATAATACTTTTTATCTTATAAAAATATGAGATTCTAGTGAGATTATCAAAACTGAGAAATGTAATATTTTTAAGGTCGCGGGTGCAAGCTAGTGTTTACATATAAATAAAGTCAAGTTAATCGAATATCATCGAACACGTTACAAACCGTTTTGTTTTTTGTTCACACCGACACACAAAAACTGGTATACTAATCAAATCATCATACAATAGTGATTGTAGCATGTATCATGTCACCGGATAAGAATAAAAACAGTATGAACCTACCACTCGAGTTGAACGCCCGCTGTAACAATCAGTCTTATATCAATATAATTGGTAATATTGATTCAAATAAAAATGTTTTTGCTCTAATAAATAAATTCGTCAATACTGGAAAGTTTTAACACGAACAGTCACTAAACAAGAATGTATAATAATCTAATCTGTAAATTTTAAATTTGTAATATTAATGGGTCTGTTAATAAATTAGCTTTAAACTTCACCTTTATCATTGTCATCGTAGGTGTGTCGCTTAAAATTCTAGATTTACAAATCAAATTCATAGACCGGTCACCTAGTTCTATGTCCATATCATATTACTATGTTTATATTCAATATTCAAGGTGACTTAGTTGTCCACCATCCAGTGGTATTTGCAAAGTAAATATTTTAAACTAATTGTCTTCTTTCAATTGCTGCAATATCATGAGCAAAACATTTATTTATGACTTAGCGACTACAAAAACATTATACCCATATCCGTTTAGGTACTATATAGTTTTAAGCAGATATATGCATTATATTCTATGATGCTACAATAAAAAATTAACATTTTATGAATGTTGCAGTTGAAGGTTTATTATATTTGTTTGCTAACAGAAGTTTTTGATGTATTTGATGAATAATATTATTGGCACTATATAAATACGCAAAACCGCAATGGCACCCTTAGAATAAAATAACCTCGGTCAAATTTTCCGTCATTTCTCACTTTGTTGAAATCGACTTTGAAAAGATACTCCATACACTTGTACGGAAAAACGACCTAACTAATTATTTTTTCACTTTTAGTCTGAGAGTGCGACATATTCGCATGGCTACACATTCCTTTTATCAACGAAGTTTAAGTCATTACATATGGGGCTGGCATTTTCGTATTAGAATGAAAACCCCTTGAAAAATATATCTTGTTTCGTCATTATCTTTTGTTTATATCAGACTAATGACATTTGATGCCAGGGCCGTCTTTAACCTATTGGAGGCTCTGGGCATATTAGGATAATGGGGCCCCTATGACTATGATGCGGATTATGCCTTGAAATGGAGCGAGTCACACTGATGAGTGTAGTACTGATGATTTTTCTTTAAAATAGCTTAGTATACCATTATATACTTAAATTTATCTAAGCATGCTGAAGTCAGAAATCCTAATTTTTGGGCGAGAGTAGAATAGCTTCGTGCATGTAAAATCTAGTAAGTTGGTATTGCAGTCAGTAATTTAGGTTCGATTTCTTCGAATTATATAAATTTTTTGGTAATAAATATTGGTTATCGTTTGGTAATCTGACAGGAACTAGGGACTTTGTATTTGATCTGAGGGGGATCCCTATCGATCGCGGGGCACTTGGTGCCCACTGGGAAAGAGGGGGCTGTTTGGTGCATTTATGGTTGGTAATAAAATGGCTTACTTCTGTTAAACATTACCACAGGTAACTTACACCCATTCTAAAATTAATTTTATTGAGGGACCCAAGTTTTTGAACTGATAGCTACAAACACAAATGTTATAAAAGATTTTTAATGACAATAATGTAAAATTATTAATCAAAAGAGATAAAGCTTTTTTTAAAGATTTATGTTTTTTTTAGTGCTTATACTTAATTTATATGCCAATACCAATGACATGCAACTATCATCAATTTCGATAAATTTATAACATAAGTATCGATGAGCTTTTAAACATAATCAAAACAACGATAGTTTCTTTATCCATTGCTGTCAGTGTTCCAACAATTTCATAAAAACTTTACTTTCAACACGCAATTTATTATGTTGATTAAAGATTGAGTTTTTTTAGTATTACCATCATAAAAATATTTGATTATAATTTGTAACCAATTTATTTTCCATTCATATTTTTAGCGCATACCGACTTTTTTCGACAGCTAAATTATTAACACCATATATCATATATTTTATTGATTTGAATTAGAAAATAAAACAAAACCTAAGAATACACACAGCTTTCAAATCTATTTTATCGATTTTCCGAGAGGCAGTTTCGGAAACCACAATAATTGTTTCTTACAAAAACTGAACTGAAGATCATAGTCTGGTTAAATGGGATAATTATATAAGTTTTTACAGTATTATTTTTTATAATTATCCACCAATACTGAAGGTTGTTTTTTTTACAGTGCTTAGCAAGCTAGCACCTGTTAGGTTCTTTTCCCCATAAAACTTAACTTTAAAAACCTTGCATATTAATGTTGTCAGGTGACCTCTCTACATTGGCCCATGGCCAATTGATTTCTCTTTCTCTCCTCTCTCATCTCTCTCTCTCTCTCTCTCTTCTATCACAAAAAAAACACACTTTACACTACCGATTGTGATGTGGTGAGCGTGTTCAGTCTGCGATCGTGGAAGCAATTTTCCCAATGGCAAGTCATCAGACAGATGACGAAAAATTTATTATATCAAGCTCTTCCTAGCTTCGAAAGGTACGTTATTCCGTTGGTCCCGGTTCTGGAGTCGTTAACGCCCGCATATGGCTCCAGTGGAGTATCACTGCCCAATCTCCCTATTCCATTCATAGAGAAAACCTGTGTCCCAAAAGTGACTGTGAGTACATCAATCGATTGATAATGATATGAAACTTTTTAATTTCAGATACGACACAAGTGATGGTGCATCCCGGACGGAACAAGGAGCAATTCTGAACTCTGGTACAAAGGATGAAGCGTTAGACGTACAAGGAGCCGTACGCTGGTACGATAACAAGGGCAATCTGTACGAAATGACATACAAAGCCGGCAAGAGAGGCTACAGAACAATCATAAAGAAGATCTCGTGATGGGAAAAGTGCTGTTTATTTTCGTTTAAAGACTGACGAAATGCAGACTGAAATAATTAAGTGCTTAGTTGGTAGTAAAATGTCTCGCATTATAAAAATTCCGGAACAATCTTTTATTGAAGAAAGATTGCAAATTTGGGTGTGAGCATACAAAATGAAGGGTTTTTAGAATAGCAAAAGCAGTTGTATGATAACTTTTCGTTAAAGCACCTATGTATAATTGGTGATATAAGAATATGAAGAAAAAAGTATTCTCAAAGAAGTCATATTTATTAATTGTTATCAAATCGTAGAACACACTATTAATGTAATTGGAGGAAAAATAATAATCTATTAATCTTAGTAATTAATTAACAACAAAGAGACTATCGATTTTTATTTACAAAGCCTATGGCGCATATTTTGCAAAATATTACGTTTTTATAATATTTATTGTTATTAAAGATTATAAGATGTATGTTTTTCGTTTATTTTAACACGAACATTAAAAATTTAAGCAATGAAATAATTTAAAATTAACATGAATTTAATCGGAAACATTTAAGACTATGAGCAATACTGATTCACTACGACATTAGGTTGTTTTACATATTTAATGTTAAAATGTAATGTGACATTAATTATAAACTATCACGACAAGCACGAATCACTTGGAAGGATTTTTTATAAATTATTACAAAATTCGCATAAGTTTTTTAAGTACCTACGCAACAAGCATTACAGAGAAAAGTCTTGCAAATAATTGGGTTATTTATGATTAAAGGATTTCTAACTAAATATAAGTAGGTTTTCACACATACGCATGCCTTTACAGTCCATTATGTGATGGCACTTAACGTTTCGTAACTGTTAGTATATTTGTGTTATCACTTCGTTACAAAATGTGTGCATTTTTCCAATTGAAATGACTTCGGCAAACATTAGCCGTATTTAAGATGAACGCTAGGAAAATTTTATCATTTCATTATCAACAGTGTCATCAATTCGCAATGTTCAACTTGGTAAGTTAATTAAGCTTTTTATTTTAATAAAAACACATTTTAAAAATCAAAACTCGTTTTCTAGAATTTTCGAATTATTTTTGATGTTTCGTATCCTTACGAAACTCAAGAAGACATTAGATTTTGCTGATATATTGGTTATAGAGCAAGAGCCCACGATGGCCAGACCTTCCTTATTTTTTAAAAACTGAAAGATTTTCTGTACGTGTCTCCTATACAGGTAAGAACGACCAGTGACTATAGAGTTTGGGTTGTGGTTACCTGGGCAGGTAACAGGAAGTAAAGGTGTATAAAATAGTACTTAAAATTTGTTAAAGTATAAAGCTCAATTTTTTTATATTTTCTTTGGGATAACTTTAGAAATCTCGTCATCCATTGCCGGTCACTTATGACAGTTGCTAACTCCTGACAGACACCCCTTAACTTTCATAGATTATAATTATAATAGCAAAATTTTACATATGTTACTTGCGGACCTATAAAGAGATGTTACCTCAATAGACGGACAGTTTAAGTCCAACTCTATAGTCGCTGGTCGTTCTTACCTGTTTAGAGGACACGTACAGAAAAACTTTCAGCTTTTATGAAATAAGGAAGGTCTGGCCATCGTGGGCTCTTGGGCTATTAGATTTATTATATACACAAAAACAGAAAATTTTTATTATCATAACTTTACAAATGAGCAATAGTCTTTTTTTAGTTCAGTGATGTTTGCATTACATATATAAATAATAAACGTACCTTCCGCCAATTAATATCTCTGTCGGTGTTGGCAGAGCATGTAATATATTAGCAGGCTTTAACTTTGTTAGTCTATCGGCTATAACAGTTTCTAAATATTTCCTGTTCGTTGATAGGCTTTTATTATATACATAAGAAAGATAGGAAATACTCAAAAAGGCGCCTTAAAAACTTTTATTTATGTTTTTCTGATAGAAATTTCTAACAGTCAGCTTCTTGGTTGCGATTGTCTCAACCCAGCAGCAACAGCCATCAGGCCAGCCCGAAGTTGAGATTCTTACAGAGAAGTACGACGTGAGCCTTGATGGATACAATTTTGTGTAAGTCCCATAATTTATTCTATAATATAATAACATCAATGTAACGCTTGCAAAATGCTTTCGAAATGTGGAAGTTGAAAAAGAAATCCGTCTGAAAGATACAGAAGGTGATAAAATCAAAAAAGAAATGCTTCATCGGTTTTAACATATAAAATACTGTCGAATGTAAAAGGACGTAACAGCCGATGAAGGCCAGGATCATTAATCCATAATAAAAAATAATCTATATAATTTTTATATTTATATCTAATAAAACTAACAATGTTTCTTAGGTCTACTGTAAGTAATTAAAAAAAATTACGAACTTTTTTAATTTACAATATTCATGGGTGTGTATATATGTGCACTCAGCGTTCCAATATTGGACTATCCTAACGTGCCGCCAATGTTTTTAGGATGTGTATAAGTTAGAGCATATACCACTTTAATTTGTTTGTTGAATTTCTTGGCCACTCGGAACGAAATGTCTGAGAATAACCCATCTATTCCCATCCTTTGCTGATTTAAGTTACCTATCTATCACAATGCAATGTTAAATGTTCTTGGCCTGTAATTATATTAGTTTGTATTGGTAACGTCATATTTTTATGTAAATGTAGCTATTTCATTAAAAGCTAAAAAGTCTCTTTCGCCTGTTCTTCTTGTCAGCTAAAAGTTGTCTTGAAAAGGTGGTAGGAAAAAATATATAAGGACGATTCAAAAGATCTTTTAATAAGTCAACTTGAATAAAGTTTATTTTCATTTCATTACATTACAGATTCAAAATACTACGATCACAAAATGAATAGATTTAAAAAATACGACAGAACATCTTTGTCAGGTGCATATCACCTTATAATATAATATCGGGTAGGTGGGCTTATATGATATCCTTGGTTAAAATGTAGATTTCCACATTTAAGTCGTTTGGCCTTATTCGTAGGCATTACACAATTTTTAGTGCTTCTCCACCAACATACATATTTGACCTTTAAATTTGTAGGTATTTTAGTTAAAATTTTGAAAACCGCCAAATATTTGTGCGCCTTTTACGATACTGACGACTTCTCTAGGCTTCTTGGCTATCTTGTTTTTTATAACAATGTTCATTGTGGTTCTTAAATCTTGAGTCGCCCCTTTTATTACACATGTCTCTTTTGGATACGCGAGTCAATAATCATGTCGCATTTTTTCTTCAAACACCTAAGTCACCTGTTCAAAAAGAAAACAATGTTACAGGTATAAAACCAGTGATGGGGTGTCCCGTCAAGAAGAAGCCCATCTGATCACTGTCGGAGAGAACCAAGGTATCGGCGTCAAAGGCTCATACTCTTACACAGCCCCAGACGGACAACAGTACGAGGTCTCGTTTACCGCTGACGATAAAGGCTACAAACCCACTATCCGGGTCGTAGGAGCTCAATAAATTGAATCAAAAAATCATTCGTTCTTACATTATCATTACTTGGACTGCGATAACATTTTACATGTTTAAGGTACCTATAATTTGGTAGCACTTATCATTTTCTTCCAAACCACTTTTTGTAGACTGCAGTATCCGATGTTAAATATTTTACATTGTATTTTTGCCTCACGGAACTGTAGTATTGGGTAAAGAAGTTGGCAACTGGGATCGCTGAGTTTAGGTCACCACCCCTTTTTTATTTTTTATCAGAAGAAATGAAGCGTTTATTGGCCTAAAACATTTACAGAACAGCATACATTGAATAAACAAAGAGAAAGTAAATAATAAAAGTGAAAAAGATATAACTAAAAAAAAAAAAAAGGAAAGGCCAATGTAGGTCGCTGCCTCAGCCTAAGCAGCTACGACTCTTGGCACAAGGCCGCAACAGTGCTGATATTCTGGCAGCGCCCCCTTTTACATTTTCGCATAAAAACACAAGCCGCACACGTAGCGCGAGCAAGGTACGCAACCCAGGGCCGCACTTCACACCCGCAACCAAGGCGCACGAAAAGCCAAACCCGACACAGCCCCCTCACACCCCACGCCTGAACCGAAGCGCCCCAGAGCGACAATCTACACCTCTTGGTCGCGCTCCGTACCTATCCTCTTGGATAGGTACGGAGCGCGACCCTGATCAACAAACACGTGTTTAACACGGATAATTATGTGGTGTACGTTATCTTAAAAAAAAGACTAAAATATTACAGGTTTGTAATAAAAACTATATTTTTCTCGATACTAGCTCATGGATTATTTCGTTATGTCATGTCTATAAATATATATTCGTATATTGAGTAGGATTTTATCACGCAGGCAAAACCTCTGATTACAGACGTTGGCGCCCTTAAGGGGCACACCAGCGAACGAACCTAGCCTCTCGCAAATCTCACGAGTGCGAAACGGAGTAGCCTTTAAGCGGTTCACGCGGCTTACGAGCGCTTACGGCGTACTATCCGCTAAAAACCCTGCGAATGTCCTCTATGCGGTTAAGTGCGGAACCGCGAGATCCCCGTTGAGGGACTTCACCGCGTCTCCGCAACCAACAGACCCCCGGGCTAGCCGGGGCTTCACGACAGGGGGGGGGGGGTATTTCAGGTGATCCCGCAGACGGGCGCAGGACTGCCCGCGCTAGGAGCTAAGTGTGCGGCCTATTGCCCACCGCACCACTCCCCGTCCGCTGCTGAAAGGAGATCGTTCGCTCGTTATGATACTGCTCTGGCACTGATTGCACCTTAAAAATTGTACTCTGAAAATAGTAAAAACTTCCCAATGAAATATAAATATGTGATTATAACAGCTTGCTATAATTTGCGCCTTTTTGGAAAATATATATTTATTAGTAATTGTTGATAACTTATATGCAGATATATGTATCAATGAAAGAGCTTTTTTGGCTTTCTATATTATATCTTTACAGTGTATATATTATAGGTAATTTACCTATGTTAATCGTCTTTATTTCTTTCTATGACTCTTCTTACTATACTCTTGCTAAATTTAATAAATATTTCCCTATCTTTGTTCATTACCATAATTTCCCTTAGGTTTTCCTTTCTAAGTTTTGTGTGTAGTGCTGTTTGTGCGTCATGTCTTTCTCTGTTGTAAAGGGGGCATTCTAAGAGGACGTGAAAAATGTCCTCTTCGGTGTCTGGGTCACATACGCATCTCGGGGTGTCATTCTTTTTGAACCTATGGAGGCAGGCGGAGAAACTTCCATGCCCGGTGAAGATCTGTGCAGCTATTCTATCCATTTCAATCTTTCTTACCGCACCGAAGGCACTCTTGCGGGGCAAGGAAAGAATGCCTTCGTTGTGGCCGCCGTGTTTTCGCTCCTATACCTGCTGTCCCATTTTGCTTTCGTCACTGCGCGTACATGTCGCTTGACGAAAGAGATGGGACAGCAGTCATAGTGTGATTTGCACTTCAACCCGAGGGCCGCTCCCTTCGCCAGCTGATCCACTCTCTCGTTTCCGACCACCCCGACGTGGGCCCTGATCCAAAACAGGGACACGATTTGTCCGTTGTCCCTGAGTTGGGCCAGGTTACCCTGAATCGCCTTGGTGATCGGATGCGAGGAGTCTGGATCAGCTAGCGATTGGAGAGAGGACCTCGAGTCGCTGAGCACGGCCGCTTCCTTCCATCCCTTCCCTATTACGCACTCCGTGGCTTGGAGGATAGCATACAGCTTGGCTTGGAAGACTGTATTATATGGCTCCAGCTTAAACTTTCGGGAAAGGACTTCTGCCTGCCCTTTCCAACAGGTCAGGGCGGCTCCCACCTTTCCCTCCAGTTTGCTGCCATCTGTATAGATCTTCACAAGACCTTCTGCCAGTTTGCTATCCTCCTCCTCGTTCTCCAGACATTCAAAACCTATCATTCTGCTGCTACCGGGGTGGTCCGATTCCATGAAGGACACCCTTTCCTCCACCTTTCTCCCCCTCAATATTGCCTGGGGTTTCCCTCGCTTCGCCTCATAAAGCTGGGATGCTTCATGGACCCTTAGGTCCAGCGGAAGCAGCCCCGATAATATTAAGGCGGAGTTGAGCGACACCGTCTTGTAGCATTTTGCAATCTTCTGCGCGAACCCCCTCTGTACAACTGAGAATTTCTTTTTTGTAATTATCTTGTCAGCTTCCTTTTGCCAGACGCTCGCGGCGTAAAGGATGACCGGTTCTATCACTGTAATATAAATAGTTCTTATTATTTCCGGTTGGAGACCCCAAGTCGTTTTGGCTGCTTTTTGTATGCCTTTATATATGTTTATGGCTTTGCCGCATACGTATTTTAAGTGCTCATTGAACGTTAACTTACAATCTATTTTTAGGCCAAGAATTTTTATTTCGTTTACCATTTCTATTTGGACCCCCCGCGTACCGCGCGTACGCGCGTAGTACCGGCGCGTCGAATTTAAGCTTTTTGGTGATGACCATGGCTTTGGTTTTATGCGCCGCAAAGTTCAGCTTATTCGACGCGCCCCATCTCCTGACCAGGGATAGTCCTACATTGGCCTTATCTTCTACTGACTTTTATCCAAAAGAGAGTCAGCTTAGTTAGCCACACACAGGAGTAGTAAATTGACCTCCTCCTCCCTAAGGTGAGTAATGTCTGGGCTAACTTTTTAATAAACTTTTCACGTGTTATATAATAACACATTATGAAGTTATTTGACGTCCCGGCTCTGAGTGTGGCAATCACATCTTGATATTCCACTATCACGGTAGAACTACTGCATTTTATATACTTAACAATAATATTTGGTTTTATTTCTTTATATTACATTTATAAACCTGAATCGAATTCGGCCTAATATCTTAAATGTGTCATTGAACTATTAGTAGGAGAGCTACTGAACCCTTCGAGTAACGGTCTGTCTGTAAGGCTAGAAATTCTTATGGTGATGAGCCATAGCATGCTTAATACGGTAAGCATCGTCTGGCACTCCTCAGCCCTGCACGTCATCAAGCCGTATATTTTTGAAAGTGTCAAAAAAATATTAAAAAAAAACTTGTTGCTGTAAGCTTGAAATTTTTATACAATGTAGTTTATTCATTTTTCACTTTAAAAAAAATATTGCCAGACGTTAACGATGAGCACAAGTACCTGCCAGACGAAGCGGAATGTGTGTAATATATACATAAATATAAACTTTATTCTGTAAAGTTGAAATTTATATATGTGTTTGTTTAAGCGATTTAAAGTAAGTAGGTAGAATGCCAGGCGGTTCTGGCTAGCACAAGTCCTTGCCAGGCGAGGAGAAAGATGCTGCAGCAGTGCGAGTAAGAGTCGTAGTATGAAAACTTACGGTATATTATTCATGCAAATTAAATGATGTGAAATTAAAAGTTACGGATAAAATATTTTTTATTATTATAAGTCTTTAAATTAATTAATAAATCTTCATCATCATTACTTTCTTCATCATCATAATAGGATTCTTAGTTCCTGATTTCATCATCTAAAAAGAAACAAAGTTTTAATTCATTAAGAACAACATTACATCTCTGACCTTGCGCTCAATTATATAGAATTTCATATATTTTTATGAAATGTGTATTACCTTTAATGTGTTCTTCAGCGTCACTTGACTCATTCTCAGCAGTTTATTCTTTTTAGCGCATTTAAATAAAAGTGTGTTTATAAAAAGTTTTTTACTTTTAATTTATTTTTTACTTTTTAGTTATGGCTGGATATAATCGAGTACTTCAAAAACCTCATATTCTTGGAAAGTCCTTTCATTTGTTGGAAAGTATAAAAAACTTAGTCTGTCTGTCTGTAGTGGCATATTATTTGCATTCAGTTTAACTAGGTAAAGTTTTATTATAATTTTATTTGCGATTTAAAGTAAGTAGGTAGAATGGCTAGCATAAGTAATTGCCTCGTGAGGGGAAAGATGCTATGGAAGTGTGAGTAAGCAGCTCAACGTGAACTCGGTGGTACGATTGAGACAGTTTATCTTACTGGAAAATATGTCCCATACCTGAAAAAAAACCGTCAGATGTAACAACGATTTATCTACGATTTATAAGGTTCTGGCAACTCTGCCCTAACTAAGCGTACATCTCTCTGCATAATAAACTTAAAACTTTTGAAATTATCAGCTGTTTTGTACAAAAACTCATTGCAAAGTGAAGTTCGACATTGGATTTATCTGCAACAGTGTAGACAAGATTGTTCCGCAGCTAGAACCAGAGGAATTAATCAAGATAAGTGCCTGTTTTTCTACCCCCTTTTGGCAATGATGCACACCTGTCATAACTTGTGATTTGTATACCCTCGGAAATCACATTATTCTCTGTCAACTTCAATTGACAGCTGGATTTTTGAATTTGACACGATCATAGTGTTGCCACATACAGTTGTCTACTACTGGTTTTGAGGTAAAGAGCTGATAATTGTAACCGGTGCTGTATCCTCTCTCTGCTCCTTCCTCTGGTGCTCTCTTTTGATCGCGAGTGTCCAGTATACGGCATCAACGGTACCGGTCAGTTCCAGCAATCATATCGCGACTAACGACCGCCGTGTTAGCAACAAAATGCCTAAAGTACAACGCACACCACCTGCGTCTCCTCCAAGGGCACAATCGGAATCGGACTCATCTGCTGTTGATAAGGTTGTGGAAACACGTAAAGTACCAATTAGATCAAAGCGTCTTCGGGTCGAAGGGTCTCCCCAAACAAAATTTGACGACCAAGGTGTATTGCAGGAATTTAAAAACGATTTGATGGTGATGCTTCGCGCTTGGAAAGCTGAACAAGATGAAACACTATCTAAACTTGTGACGGATATAGCGTACCTCAAGTCCCAATGTGCTGAAATACAAAAGTCAAATTCTGATATCGAAAACTCAATTTCATTCATGAATGCCCAACATGAAGAATTCAAAGAAAAAATCGCTAGATTGGAGATTGAAAAACGCGAAAATAGAGCTTTTATGATTGGGTTGCAGAAACAGTTTGAGGAATTACACCAACTCTCTAGACCTTCGTCTATTGAAATACGAAATGTTCCTGAAAAAGACAAAGAATCAGAAGGTGACCTAATATCCTTAGTAAAAAAGCTTGGTACCACTCTGGATATTACTATCCAAGACAATGACATTCGTGATATTTATAGGCGCCCTGGAAAACCTGGAACAGTTAAAGCGATTGTGACTGAATTCAAGTCTGTTCAAGTTAAAAATAATTTACTTGCTTCATCACGACGCTTCAATAAGGACCGTTCGAACTCGTCGAGACTCAGTTGTGAACACTTTGGTATGGTCGACGACAAGCGACCAGTCTATGTGGATGAGCATCTGCCATATTCTGTCCGTAAGTTACTTTTTCTTGCTCGAGAATTCGCTAAAAAACATGATTTTAAATATTGTTGGACTTCTAATGGCAGAGTGCTCCTTCGCAGAGATTCGAACTCTAAGTTTATCCATGTTAAAACAGAATTATGTCTTAATAGCTCACTTATACCACAGTGAATCTTTCAATGCTAGATATAGTATAATACATACACACAAAAACCATTCTGTAATCCATACACTATCTCAATTTCCTTTCAGGTATACTCACATTCATCATAATATCGACATATACACAATCACACTACAAACCTTCATGGGTCATATTGAAATAATATTAATCGTCATATTGTTTTACCATCCACTTACTTCTTATATTCAATTTATTCTATTGTTCGATTCTCTATCATATAACTCAACCAGCATCCTCTCAGAACTTTCCTCTCAAAGATATCACACGCCATCCAGCTTTACACGAGTGCTTCACTGTTGCGCGAATATAGTAATAAAAAACAAACCCTACGAAGTCCAACCCATTTCTTTAGTGGACATAGTTTTTTACTGTGTCGCTTGCATGTTTGTTATAAATAATAAAAATGACTAATTTAGTAAATATAGTATCCGAGATTGATGACATACAAGTTGGACAATCATATTACTGCACCCCAGAAAATTGTAATAATTATATCCCTAATGACTCTTCACTAAAAATAATTCACGCAAATATAAGAAGTATTCAAAAAAATTTCAATAATTTCATCGCAACAGTAGCCATGACAGAAATAAAATACGATGTCATTGTATTGTCCGAATGTTGGCTTAGAGTGACTAGCCAACTTCCTTATCTTGATGGCTATACTGTCTACTCAACCTGTATAAATCCTCTTCAAAATGACGGTGTTGTTTTATATATCAAAGAAGATCTGAAATGTGCAATTAGTGAGCCTGCCTTTCAGGAGGGGAATTGCCTGCTGTGTTGCATTGGCAATACTGCCATTGTTGCGGTTTATCGATCTCCATCATACAATAATCTTGACAAATTTTTAGATAGTTTGGACAATATTATTTCTCCTCTAAACTTTAAAAATATTGTGCTGACAGGTGACATAAACGTGGACATAAAGGAAAATAATAACAATCGTCATAGTAATGAATACCTTACCTTTATGTCCTCCCTGGGCCTATTGCCAGCGCATCTTCTTCCAACAAGAATGGAAAATTGCTTGGATCATTTTTTTGTGAAGACGGACCACGTTGCTACAGTGGCTGTCGTTCAAACTGAGATCACGGATCATTATCCTATTGTATTGTCTCTAAAAGTAAACAATTCCGTGAACTTCAAAGTAAAACATACTATTGCAATTAAATATAATTTTGAAACGATTAAAAAAGAGATAGATATAACAAACTTCACACCGATATTAGAACAATCAAATCCCGAAGTAGCCACAGATACTTTTATTGCTTGCCTTAAATCTGTTATTGACAAAAATAAAACAATTGTTAAAGTGTCACGAAGAAACAAAATCTTAAAACCGTGGATCACTCCTGGTTTGCTTCGCTGTTTGCGAAATCGCGACTCTATGCACCTCAAATTAAAGTACTCCCCTGACAATGTAATCTTAAAAACGACTTATTATAGATATCGCAATTTCTGTAACGTCATTTTAAAAAAAGTAAAACAGGAGTATGAGAAGCTAGAATTTGAAAGAGCAAAAAATAATCCAAAGGAATTGTGGAATGTTATCAAAACAATAACGAACAGTAAACGAATTCACAGGCCCCCAGAAGAACTTTTGAATATTGCAGGTGACAGTCACTTATCTGTGAATTTCGTTAATGACTATTTTGCTAATTTGGGTAGTGATCTTGCTAAGAGAATATCATCCTCGCCGTCTCCGCAACGGAGTAATTTGGTTAGACATACTTACCCAATTAGTAATTCGTTCGTGATCCTCCCTGTTGCGGAGGCAGAGGTAGAAAAGCTCATTCTCAGCCTACGAAGTGATTGCGCAACGGGATGTGACGGTATTCCAGCTCGGGTAATTAAACAGTCTTCTTCTACTCTAGCCGCTCCACTTACCCATATTTTCAATCGTTGTATAGAAAACGGTGTCTTTCCCAGCTCTTTTAAAAGGGCTATAGTCCATCCTATCCACAAGGCCGGGAGTAGAGATTGCGTCACCAATTATAGACCCATCTCTGTTCTCTCAGCTCTTTCTAAAGTGTTGGAGAGGTATCTTAATAATTTACTGGTTTCGTATCTGAATAAATATAAAATATTATCTAATAATCAATTTGGTTTTCGAAGCAGTTTATCCACGGAAGACGGGGTCTCAAGCCTTGTTGAAGCACTTGTTACTAAAATGGACAAAAGGCTTAAATGTTATGGTGTCTTCCTTGACCTGTCCAAGGCTTTTGACACCGTCTCCATCCCAATTCTTCTCGACAAGTTGGAGCGTATTGGAATTCGGGGTCCTGGCCTGCAAATACTTAGTAGCTATCTTACTAGCCGCTCACAATGTGTCAAAATAGGTAGTTTTGTCAGCGATCAGGTATCAATATGCTATGGTGTGCCGCAGGGCAGTATTCTGGGCCCGACGCTATTTCTCATATATATGGATCAGCTTTGCCGTCTATCTCTTGAAAATTGCAACATCTTTTCCTATGCCGATGATACGGCACTTCTAGTTTATGGTGATAGTTGGGTCTCTGCTAAGCATAACGCGGAGAATGCTCTTGTTCTGGTCAGGGAATGGCTATCCATCAACCTTCTCACACTAAACTTCGAAAAAACCCAGGTTCTAAAATTCGACATTGCAAAATCTCAAGTAAACATGCCCCCAGCCGATATTAAATTGCACCATTGTCGGAATACAGACTTAAACTCATGTCGCTGCAAACCACTTAATACTGTAAGAAGCCTTAAGTATCTGGGTGTCCATCTCGATGACAGGCTTGACTGGCATGTCCAAATTGAAGCCCTTACAGGACGAATCCGGAGACTCATTTACATCTTTAAAAACCTGCGCCACTCGGCTGAACGGTCAACGCTTTTTACGGTTTACTTTGGATTGTGCCAGTCAATATTGTCCTACTGCATCTCTGTGTGGGGAGGGGCTAATAAAACTTTCTTGTTGAAACTGGAACGAGCCCAGCGAGCAGTCCTTAAGGTTTTATTGTGTAAACGTAGGACATATCCAACGGCGAAACTGTATTCGGAGTGCGAGGTTCTTACGGTTAGGCAGCTATCCATCCTTCGTATGCTTCTACGCAAACACTCTTCCCTTCCTCTGGAGCTCGACACATCATCAAGACGTCACTGTGCTCCTGTTTGTCCCCAGATCATGTGTCGCACAGCATGGGCTAGTAAACAATATAACGCTCTCAGCACAAAATTATATAATAAAATTCATAAAATAAAACCCATTTTTTCATTGACACTACATAATGTAAAAAAAACTGTAAGTGATCTACTTCTAAAATACAATTATGAGGAAACTGAAGATCTTATTAGGTAAACTACCCATTATTGTACACGGACCCACGCGCATGAACACACACCC